CTTGATATTCTCTAACAATGATAGAGTTCATAAAGATGATATTTATAAGATCATGAATCTGACACAGATCTCTGCTAACATGTATAAAATACTCTGAAAAAGAAGTCATCATTAAAATTACTGACAGAGTCACTGACAAGTTCACTGATAGTAGAATTATATATCAATCTATTCTATGAGTCTGACTAATATTAAAAAGACTCTAGAAAAGTTATTCTATGTTATAATAACAGATTCTTATATGAAAGTCTCTTAATAATATCATGAATATCTAGATGTCTTCTAATAAGATAATATTATAAATATATCTCTCTTATAAGGTTCTGAAGTGAATCACAGTATCAAGTTAGAGAAAAAGAATGATAAGAACTCTGAACTGTTATAAGACTCTCTTTATAACATGTTCTGAAATGAACTTCTTCTTCTTTGAAAGATACTTAATAATCTATTGAATAAAGAATTTATATATATTAATAACTCTTTCACTGCAGTCTCTATTCTCTTTGTAAAGAAATCAGATGAAGAACTCTGATTATATGTGAACTACTGAGATCTGAACAGATTGATAAAGAAAGATTAATATCTCTTATCTCTTATCAATGAAACTCTAGTATGAATCAGATAAGCTTAATAATTTATAAAACTAGATATTATCACTGCATTTCATAAGATTTGTATCACTGAAGAAGATGAATAATTTATAGCATTTCAATCATATTATGATCTCTTTAAATGAATAGTTACACTCTTTGAACTGACTAATACTCTCAGTATATTTCAGAAGTATATTAACTGAGTACTCTGAGATTTTCTTAATAAGTTTATATCTGCTTATCTAGATGATATTCTCATCTTCACTGATAGATTCAGAAAAGAATACTAAGAATATGTATGAAAGATATTACAATAGCTACAAGAATCAGAACTACTGATAGATATTAATAAGTATGATTTTAAAGTTAAGAGTACTAAGTATCTGAGTTTTATTATAGAAGCTGATAAGAGAATTTGAATAAATTCTGAGAAAGTCTCTGTCATTCTTAAATGAGAAGCTTCATGTACTGTGAAAGATGTATGAAGCTTTATCAGATTTACTAACTTCTATCAGTGATTTATATAAAACTTCTCAGATATTATGAGACTACTTACAGATTTTACTAAGAAAGACTCAGTATTTTAATAATTAACAGACACTGAAGCTGCATTTATACAGATAAAGAAGATGTTTATTAATATCTCTCTACTGATAACATTTGATTCTGATTATAAGACAGTTATTGAAGTTGATTTCTCTGACTATATAATAGAAGAAGCAATGTTATAATATAATGATGAAAATATTCTATAATTATATATTTTCATGTCTAAGAAACTGAGTTCTGCTGAATACAATTATGAGATCTATAATAAGAAACTTCTCATAATTATACACTATTTAGAAGAAAGAAACTCTGAACTCTGAAGTATCTCTGAATTTAAGATAGTTATAGATTATAAGAATCTCAAATACTTTATAACTATCTGTAAACTTACTGAATGACAGATGTAATAATCTGAGTTCTTAAGCTACTTTCATTTTATAATACACTACTGTTCTGACAGTCAGAACTCAATGACAGATGCTCTCTTATAATAAGAGCAGAATATATTATTCAATGTAACAGATACTTACTAAATGAACTAAGAGCACTAGCTCTTAAATCTGAAGATACTAGTTAATCAAGATAAAACAGCTTATAGCACTATATATACTTCTCTGATTAGAACTGTTACTGATATCTTAACTTCTTCTGAATCTATATTAGATGAGTCATAGCATATAGCAGCTTAAACTGATGAACTTCTTCAAGCAGTCACTGAAGCAGTATAATAAGAAGTATCTCAATTTCTCTCAGAATTATGTGTAAGAACTGACATCTCAGAATGTTTAATTAATAATAATAATACTCTATAATTTTGTGAATAACACTGAGTCTCTCACTCTGAACTCTTACATATCTGAATAATGTAAGAGATGCATGATTTGTATATAACTAATTATTCAGACTGTGAATAACTGTATAGAATAATCTTCTGAGAGTTCTATTAATCTAAGATATTAAACAGTATCAGATGCTTTATTTAAAACTGTAACTACTATTCTTCTATTATATTATAAAAGAATTGTAGAAAAGATCTATTGAAATCACTTAATATTTGTAATAGAATCTGATAAGATGTAGTAATTAACTTCACTATTAATCTATTTAAGAGTAAGAATTGTAGAAATATTCTGATTATTATAGATTAATTAAGTAAAGATATAATGTTAAAATCTTATAATAAGATAAATACTGAATAAGTCACTGAAGCTTTTCTACAGAGCCTGTTCTATCAGATGTATAAATTACTGAGATTTATAGTATCAGATCAGAGCTGTTAATTTATAAGTACTCTCTGAACTAGAATCTGTCAAGTTCTTAAGATTATATACTGTCTGTTAACTATCTATCACTCTGAGACTGATAATATATTAGAATGAATAATTCAGACTGTAAAGAATTATCTTTATAAGTTCTGTAATTACTTATAAGATGATTAATATAATCTTCTTCTACACACAGAGATTACTATCAACAGTTAAGATGCTGTTTTAATAGATATAAGTCTGTTCTTTCTTATATATGAATATTACATGAAAATGTTGAATCTTCTAGAGACTACACAGTTCACACTAAACTCTCACAGTCTGATTCAGATTACTAATAATATAGTAATAAAGCTCTGAGATATCTGTAATTGAGCAGAGGTCTTTATAATAACTGTGAAATAAGATTAAGAGAACTGAATTAATATTCACTGAGACTCTACAGAATAATATAAGATAGAAGATCTGATATAATTGAATCTTAAGAATATATGAATTACATGTTCATCTCATACACTAGATTATTATTATACTAGATATAAAGTGATAGAAGTTCTAGATAGTTATAACTACTGTCTTAACATATTATCAGAGATTTATAATATATTTTATACAAGCTTACTTCATCACACTGTCACTGATTTATTCTCTTCTCAGCTGATTTCTGACTGACAGTCATCAGACATCATAGAAGAAGATAATCAGCTTGAGTGAGAGATTGAGAATATTCTTAATAAGAGATTCTGTGACTGCAGCTGATAATATCTTGTGAAATGAGTTAACTATAATCAACTGATCTGAACTCTGAGTTCTGTGTTATCTGAAATAGTAGTTCTTGACTGATGAGAACTGCTTCTGAAAAGAGAAAGTTAATGTAGCAGGCTGTATCTGATCAATTATATAGACTATTCTGTTACACTTCACAGATTTCAATCACTTCATTCTTGAATACATATACTCTGATTCTCAGTCATTCTTGATCACTGATTCTCAGCTGTCATGAATATGTACACTCTGATTCTCAGTCATTCTTAATCATCAATTCTCAGCTGCTATAAACATGTGTATATTCTTTCACTCTGAAGCTTCACTGTGTATGTCATTACATACATGTATAAATATTCATCTTAATCACTGATTCTTGCACTTTCTCTTTCTTTCCTTCTTTAATGTTTTTATCTTTGTTAAATAAGATCTATTAATATAATACTGATCTATTCAGTGTAGGCTTCTTACATAAATATATTTAAAAGCAGTTATAATTAGACTGACTATGTGACTGTGTCTGAGACTAGAACTAGATTTTTTAATAGTCTTATTATCAATTCAACTGATCTTATTACACAGTTTTAACATTGAATAGTAGTTTCATACTGTTTCAGTGAGACTTACTGTCTACTCTTATCATATTTTTCAAATGAGATCATGATTTTCACTTCTTAATTTAAATTATTTTTATTGCTTTAAATGACTTTATATCTTATTTAAGTGTTATCAAAAAGTGTTACTTTTTAAAAAATTAAAAATAGTCTAAAAAAAACTTTAAAATGTTGAAAAATAGTAATTTTATACTAAGAATGAGACTAAATGAAATCAAATGAAATCACTTTCTTATTTTTTTCAAGTCATGATTTCATTTTAAGATCTGATATATTGCCACTTTACATGTTTTTTTAATAACTAGTCTCAGCAGAATTCATATCAAGAAATGTATGAGACTAGATTAAATAAGATTAAATGTGAAATTCATAATCTCAGTAGTCAGTCTAGTTATAATATTATTCAGTGACTGAACATTTCTTCTAGATTATACTTAAAAATAATCTTATTTAAAATTTTCTTTATAACTAGGTTAAATTTCTTATTATCTGAGTTTTCAAAAATAATTTTTTATAAGTTTATATTTTATAAAATTTCTTAAGTATTAATATTTTAATTTAATATAATAATTATTATTTAATCAACTATTTCTTGAATATTCTAAATAATTAAAATTATGAAATACAAATGAATACTGTGAAAAACTAATAGTATATAAAAAATAATAAATAAAAAATATATTTAGATATAAATAGAGTTAATCACTGAAGAAGAAAGAAGAAGAGAAGTATTCTCTCAGACTTCTTCAGTGCTAATTTACAGATATATATAATTCACTTAAATATAAATTTTAATATAGATTTAAATATACTAGAATTAAATCTTAGTTAATATCTAATTTTATAAAATAAGTAATATAAGTAATATCAGAACATTAAACAGATTACTATTTATATAGAGAAAGATGACAATAATGAAGATTTACACTGTTAAAAGATTAATATTCACTTTCTATACATCTCTGACAGACTGATACTGTTTGGAGAAAATTGCTGAACAGGCTTTAATCAATCATCATTTTTCCAAGTTTGTGCATTTATTTGTGTCACTGTGATAACAGTTCTTTCTTTCTTTTTTCCCTTTGTCATTTGTATTTGAAAAATAATAAATAAATAAATAATAATACTAATTCCTGAATGGTACGAAGACACCGTTACACAGTAACGAAAAGCTGGAGTAAATTACAGCGACCTATTCTTCAGGGGAAAACTCCCTAGTCGCGCGGCAGACGGTTTTGACAACCGGGCTTATCCACTGCTAGGATCTTGGAAGGTCTGCCTGTGGCTTCGACCGGCTTGGCCCAATTTTGGAGTCGAATTGTGGCCTGGGGCATCGCGTGGCTCAAGTCTTGTGCAGGCCGGCCTCGCACTTTCCTGGCACTTGCATCATGGATCAGATCTCTGACTGGCTGCTGCGTCCCAGAGCTGCGGTTGAGGCTGAAAGCCGCGCGACTGGGCGGCAGGGATCTCTGGCCAGTCAGAGCCTCGCCTTGCCACGCCAACCCCGTTGGGTTTTCAGAAGCCAGTCAAATGCCCGTGACGGAAAACCGTTTTTATTCCCGTCAACCACTCACTCGTTTGATTGAGGGCGGGCAGTTTGATTGTGCTGCAGCGTTGGTTACCCACCTGACCTGACACGTCGATGATGGCCACCACGGATTTTTCATGGGAACAAAGAAAACATGGAAGCGAGAGCCACAGACGGCCTTTAGGCTACCATTGAAAGGGTGTGAAGCTTTACGGAGTAGAGGGATTGGCTTTAGAGCGACTGGATTGTTGAGAAGTTTTGACCACTTTGGCCTATCATCTATCCGTTCCTGCAAGTGAACGCGCTTATTCTAAAGTTTGCATCGCATCTGATCCCTACCGCCGTCGTCCTTCCAATGGTTTTCCCAGGCAGATATATTTTCGGATTTCTATCCCGTCTGGCGGTTCAGCAGGAATAATAATGAACACAGATGGTCATTACTGGTACCCGTTAAAATCGCTCCATGTGACCCCCTACCCGGAAGCCAATTCAATGTTACTTTGCTTGTTCTGTTAACCAAACTGGGCTTCCGCTACTAAGAACATTAGCATTTTATAGGGCCCAAGCTTGGGTCGGGTCGTAAGGCATCGACAACACAATAAAACGAAAGACAGCAAAACAAATAAAAATGACACTGATCAACCATTGGCGAGGCTGCTCTCTTTTCTGCGACAATGAGAGCAGATCGTACGACGCATGCCAAGCCCTACATTCTTTCAGAAGGTCGTCGCCGCTCGAAGGGAGAGAACTGATAAAACAACGTAGGCCGCAAACTCCTTGCTAGCTAACCTGTCTTTCAATCACACCAAAAGCCAAAGCTCGACACCGTCTGGCGACGTGTGATGGCCGGAGGGCGGTGTAGATTCCCAGATCTCACGGTTAAACACAGACATCCATTCTCTTGCCAACGGACATTTCCCAAAAGCTCAAAAGGTTAGAAACCCCAGGTCCCCTCCCGTGGAGAGTTTGGCCATGCGTTGAAGTTTGTCGATCCTGTAATTGCCGGCGCTTAGACTATCAATTATTTTCCATATTTTACAGTACTTTCGGTTGGACAATCAATATCATGGGATTCAATACAGTCCGGGTAGGTAAGAATAAGAATACCCCCACACTTCAGGGTCATGATAACTCTTTGAATTTGAAGGAAACCAAACAAACCTTTCTTTTTGAATTTGGCTCCTCCTCCTGGCCCCTCACTATTAAACCCTTGGTGCGGCCAGGGTCTAGTGTAACACTGTCTCTGATTGCACACGCTGGATCTTCCATCACCTCGTCAAATTTCTCAGAGTCACGGTTCCTTCGCCAAAAACATTGTTAATCTTAGGACTGCTTGTCCTGCCTCTTGGCATGGACACAGATGAAGCCCTAGACTGTGTTGGACGGGATGAAGCGATAAATAGCAGAACGCCACAAAAAAGCGGCGTCGACATGTTCAGGACAAAGGATCCCGAGAGAGTGAAAATTGGAAATCTTCATCCCGTCTCTATTCTGATGCCAGGCTACAGGTAGGATCCATTTACGTATGCATCGTCGTAGGGCCTTCATGCGACGTCTGCGAGAGCGTCATGTGCCTTGCTGGTACAGGACATGCTGAAGCAACTGCGCTCCGGACCTGTCTCCTGCTTTTATCGTTTCCAGAACGCTTTTTGTTATAATTCCATGTTCTGCCTTCTCGACATTTGTACTGCATGTGGCCTTGCTCTTTGCTCATCCTCTCGGATAGATTTCCGCAGCAAAAAGCTTTGTTCGTTTTGCCTTTTATAGGCGTACATCGCCATCCTATGAGACTACGGCGAGCACACAACGGATAAGGCTCACGCCTTTAGTCCTGCAAATTCTAACCATGCAAACATGCCTACCACCGCCACATTCCATTTTACATGCGACAACGATCTCTAAACGACATCGACTTAGTTTCCGTTTCATTTCACTGGTCGAAACAAAACCGTCATGGCCTGGTGTTCCATCACATTTTATGGCGGAAAATAAAATAAATCCGGCAAATGTCATTCCCTTAACGATGTTCTCTTTCGCCCTCCGTGATTCCGCTTTCGTTCTACATCAGGATATTTCCCTGATCTACATGTTCTCAGTGGCATTTTTCCAGTGGTGAATTTCCTGGCTTGATGCCCACATTGGTACAATATCCTAAACAGCCCTTCGCAAATTGCAGATAGAGTGCACCACCTACGGATTACTGCAAAATCAATTCTGGATAGCGGGGGCACAAGAGAATATGAGATGAATATCTGCGGATACCCGGGAGCTTCCATCCCGCCATCCATGGGTGCTAGATTATTAGCACGCTGCCCTTGTCCCTTCGCGACTTGGCAACAGAGGGCGAACTCCTCCCATGAAGGGGAACAGCTGAACAGGTCAAGTGGGTTAACTTTCTCTCGCCGTCGATGTGGAACCGACACCGACTCTCGACTTAGTCAGTTAGCGGCCCCGCCAGCGATAAACTAAAATGGACCCATCACACTGCCTTTCCAGAAAGGGCTCCACACGAAATCAACATGCAAGGCTATTTTAGAAACGCGGTAAATTTGGGGCGAGCTTTTTGCGGCATGCGTCGAAGCTTGAACCCTTAAATTCCCGAAAAATAATAAAGGGGAGCAGGATCGGAACGGACGCCGCCGATGAGCCCTTCGTATTATTTCTACCTAAAGTGAAGATCAGTATAATGCTGCAGGATATACTATATTTATCCCATCTAGCAGCCAGGAGTTGAGGAAGCTTGAACTTTGAGCAAGCATATATGTGCGTAAAATAATGTTCCGTTAGCTCACATGCACTGTACCTCTCCTATCCATCACCAACAGTCGAATTCCGCCCTTGGACAGGGAAATTTGATGCCAAGTTGAATGTCAGGCACGTTTGGTTACAGTTAGGTAGGAATAGCGCAAGGTCTCTAGATTCCTGTCCAACCCCAATCGTATTTAGATTGGTCGTGGCGCTTGGTTCCTGATCTGCTTCTGACTGTTGAAGATACAGAACACGCATTTGCAACGCCGGGAATCGTATAAATCTGTGATTACGTTAGAGTAAGGTACCCACATCCGGAGCTGCAGCATTTCGCCACCAGCAAGTGGGAGATAGGGGATATATACTTTTGCGCCTAGTAATGTACAGATGTGCTCCTGTACATACAAACTGCCCGGTGACCACAGCAGAACCAATACACGCTGTTCGATTTCTCCTTGGCTGCCTTCTTGCAGATCATGGTGTGCTGGTTTCTGGTTATCGGGATAGGCTTATTATAAATTTTCTTTATTCCATTTTTACCTTTGCGGTAAGTCCAGCGTGTCTCGACCCGAGGGGGGAGTGCAAAAGTCACCAAAGCAACGATAATAATAACTTATATCTCGTGTTCGGGGCACGGAATTGTCAGCGCCATACTATACTATTATATTCGTCTCGTCTCGTCGTGAACTGGATGCTGAACACAATAATAATGTGTCCAGAGGAGTGCAAATTATGTTTTAAAATAGATGACCGCGCCACGAGTTACCACTGCAGCGCACCCAAACCCAAACAAGCATAAAAATAAATAAAATACAGCATCAACTTCCTGCACGTCGTTATTTTACGACCCGAAAATAGTCGACAGGGAAGGATTTTGGCGTCTAACTGGAGGCCTTCAACCCCATATTTCCGCCGTCTTCAAATGGCTCACTCGCCCTTGCCGGACTCTGCAGGGTTGCATCATTTGCATTCCATTCTAATCCATGTGAGCCCGGCGCAGAACATGTCCCACTTGGCAGACTAAATAAGGCGAAGACCGCGCCTGTAGGCTGGAGGCTGTAGTCTGTATGTAATTTAAAAAATCGAACCCATCCTTTATCTTACTTGCACAAAAACCAGTGTTTTCAAACCCTTGTCTATTTTTTCAATACGCCGCGGCGCGTTTGATCCCCGTTTTGCAGCAGTTCGGAGCCTCATACAAGGCCCTTTTTGCATTAGCCAACCAAAATCCCCCCCAACTCGCCAACTTCGCTGGACGCTTTGCCGCGCCTGATTGGTTTGTGGGATCGATCTCTTTGGCCCTCTTGCTGAGACTTGCGGAAACTTCAGGTTCCAGCCAAAGCCGCTGTTCGTCGCTTTCGTCCGATTCTCTCCTCCCCCCCCCCCCCCCGGGACGACACCAATAATACCTTCTGTGACGTGGGGTTCTGCAGAAACACGTTCGAGTCATTTCTGGGACGGTGGCAACTGAATGGCTTGGCTTTTCAAAATTAGCAGCAGCAGCTCAGAAGGCGTAGTTATCAGCAGCGGCCTGAAGCTGCTCTTCTTTCCGCTAGCGGTTTGCGGCCGCCCTCCTGTCAGCTTGCAATCGTTGCAGAAACCTGCAGGTTTGGAGTGGGCCATGAATCCATGACGGGGAGAGCAGAGGAGGGGTGTGGCGGGAAAGGGGGGAGTGGCACTGCTCTGTGGGGTGGAGATTAAAAAAAAGGAAGCAGAAGGTGTGGTTTTTTCCTTACGTATATAAAATACCTGCATGATTATCCGCTCGTTAACTAAATAAATAATATGCGAATATTACAGCGGCAGATGTATCAAGTAAGGTGATGATTACCGTCGCATTGGGACTTTGTTTCCCTACATTATTCTTACGCTGGCTGCTAGCTCTTGATTTACCCAGTCCAACAGCCCAGTTAACAAGGACCGATGGCTTTCTCTATTGCTGTTTAGGGTTTATGAAGAGCAGAAAAAGCCGCCTGGGCTGGGCTCCATGCATATTATTACGGGTATTAAGCACTGAAAGAAGCGCAGGCGGGACGAATGATGATAATTTATTCATATAATAAAACAGTGCCGCGCCCTCCCTCCGACTCCTCCACTGTGGACGAAAACGAGGCGTCTCACTCTCTTATCCTCTATTTCCTTTTTAATTATTTTAACCTGCTTAAGGCCGCCTCTACATTAAATTTCAGCAGAGACTATAAATATAATCGAATCCCGCTTCGCTGGCTAGTACTGACGCTTCTTTTTTGTTTTTTTATCCTGAGACGATAGTATAGATCGGCCCCCATCTCGTCCTAGCCCAACTATCCTGACTTCTCCACAAGGATATCCAGCAAGAATACGACAATAGCAAAGTCCCAGGACATGGCCTGTTCCATATAAAAAGAAATACACTCCAGCTTCTCGAATAAACTCTAAAATTTGTTCACTTTATTCCACCCTGTTCTTCGTCTTGTCTGGCTTCTCGAGGGAGCTCGATATCGACTTCGTACAGTATATACTGGAACTTCCCACTGGGCTCACTACCTATTCATCCCTCATCCCTCGGGTTTGCTCCAATTCCAACTTATCAGCCTGGTCAACCCCAAGGATTACGCCTTTGCCGGGAGCAAAGCTTCCCGCATTCCCCTTCGATTCTGGGCTGATCTCGTGGACGATACTTTTCTCTCCTTTTCAACAGGCATCACGTCAGTGCAATGAAAGTAGCCGTACCAAAGCAAAGCAACCTCCGACTACATTTATCCTCCTCTTTAAATTTATAAGGATATAACCGCACTTAAGTGCTCCATCTCTTGCGGACGTCAAAGCAAGTGAGGAACTTGACTCCTCTTTTCTTGCACGCAGCGACCAACGAACCTGCTATAGACAGTTTCCTTCAGGGGGCGAGGAGAGAGACAATATGGAATACAGCCAACGACGAGCCCTATACCCTCCTCAACCAGCAAATGATTCACAAACCTCTCGAATATCCATTGGTGCTCTGCTAAATCCACCCCGGCATACCTCTGACTCCACTTCCATCCCTCCAACTTCTCCCCGCCACTATCAGCAACATCAACACCAACACCATCATCAAAACTACTCAGACCTTCCCTATCGTCAATCACATTACCACCCAGCTCAGAATCACACCAGTAACCATCAATCCATAGAAGGCCATACAGGATATTCAGATCTCCACCAGACCCCACGCTCCTCTTCCGCACACTCTTCTCCAGGCCTCTACCCGAGAGAACGCTTCCCATCCGTTTCAAGTAGCTCGTCTGCGATTGTCGAAAGACGCCGTGCGCCACGGCCCAAATACGATGAAGAAGAAATGTATTTCATCTGGTACCATCGCGTTGATCTACGCCAGGAGTGGAAGGAGGTCCGTGAGAGCTTTAACGCCCAGTTTCCCAATCGCCAGCGGAAAGGGTTCCAGGGCATTCAGTGTAAATACTACAGATTCATAAAAGAGAAGAACTGTCCGACGCTCCGAGAACAGCGTCGCAGACGCAGCGGCGGCAACGGCGGCGGGAGCGGCGAGAATGGCAGTGAAAACGTGAGCAGTGGTAGTGACGGGAATTCCAGGAGTGATTTCAATGAGGATTTACCGCAATACGGGGTTATCAAGTGGACGGGAGTCAGGTTTCCGTGGATGAGGGAATGGCATGGTTCTCAGTGAAGTTGTTAAACATACCTTTTTTAAACGATTATGATCCATCCCTTTGCTTATCGTGGCAATTATATACCCTGGACATTCTGTTTCCAGTTATAACGAGCCAGTTCCATTATTATTCTACGACTCTTTTGTTTCCTGGAGCCTTTCGATCCCACCGTCGCATATTCCATCGCCGGGCCGGACAAGTAGAATTCGGCGGCTCGGAACATCTTCGGCTTCTCCACCTACCATTCTGTTCTGTGCCTGAACCGCCAACATCGCCATATCCAGCATTACGATTCTCTCGCATTTACACAAAGATTTCTTTTGGTTTGGTTTTCTCTACTTACCGGAGTTAAAAAAGGAATTGCTTGGGCCTGGCGGCAGGATGTAACCGGGGTGAATCGTCCCATGTGCAGCGAGCGAATTTAGACAGGGGCAACTTCAGGCTATCTACTTATAAATCATCGGCGGCCTGGGGAATGGGGGTGTCTGTCATGTTCTCGCGCACTTTTTTGTTTTAGTCTTTGTTTTGTTTGTTTTGGTTCCCTGAGATGGCTCGGCGCTCTTGTTTTTATCTCTATACTCTTTTTAGTCCCCTTCATTTCACTCTTGTTGTCTTATATTATGATTTTCTACGCCTCTATTATTTACTCGTTCCATTGGGTTTTCCGTTTTATATGTATAAAGATATCTGCTCCAGCATCTAGCATTGCATTTTAGCACCACCGATATTTATATATTATTTTTTTGCTTCCGAGTCCTGTCCCATCGGCATATAACTACATCCCTTCACTCCTACGCCCTCCTCTTTCTTCTAAGTGCCGAATAATTCCCTCCATCGGCCCACGGACAGATTCCACAAAATGTCCCCGGCCTTCTTGCTTCGCGCGCTCAAGGGATTCTGCCGACTCCTCACTGAGTCCTCACTTAGCCCCCGCTAAACTCAACACGGAATTTTGAGATCCCATACCTGACCCACTTCTAGTTTAGCTCTCGTTTTCCAGCTATCTCGAGCGGCTGACGGACCCCACCTAACGCCCACTTTTGCTCTCTCTCCACTCCGCACCGCCTGTCTCACAGGAGGCCAGATTTCCCTCGCTTCGGACGCTCGCGGCTCCGTGTGAAGAGAGAAGATTAACCCCCAGCTTCCGCCTGTCCATTCCACACGCCATTCTACAGTAGGAGCGCTGACGTGATCGGGGCCGGTCGCTTTAGACCCCGTTGTGTGGAAGCCAACGGAATATCCCCTCAGTTTTCCTCAGGCGTGTGCTATTGCTTGCTTCCTAGAGGCTATGAGGCGTTTTTTTTTCTTCATAATGATGTAGTTAAGTTAACTAATCTTCATCTCGAATCTTTTTGTTGGTTGAAGACCCACAATTCTGAGCACTCCCTCTAAAATACACCTCACCCATATTACACACACTCTGTCAACCCCCCACTCAACCCTCTTTTATCTTAGTGTAGAAGGATAGATTAGAGAGCTCATAATTAGAATTAGAATTAGAATAAACAAGAAAGAGTTAGAGTCTTTGAAAAATATGAAAAATCAATATTATGGGGGTGCAGAGATGATGATGTGCTGAATATGTCCAGTGCACAACAACTTGATTGCGACGAACAATGCTGATTTAGTAAGATCTTAATACCATATCCCATGCATCACCTCACTACCATTTTCCCATCCATGACTAAATTAATTTTCCTTCTTATATATACTAGCACGATGAACAACACATTGTTTTGGTTTCTCAAATCTAAGACGCTCTAGCTCACCACTACCTACTCCCTTGCCGGTGACGTGCATTAACCACCGCCCTCCTAGGCCAGATCGTTGCCTATATATAGCAGCAAATCTGTTGTATGGGGGAAATAGAATATGCT